CATTCTTTGCTAAATGGAGTCTGATCTCCACCACTCATTGGAAGAACGCAGGCGTTCTACAAGCAAAACGTAGTAAACGAAGCCTAAAATTGTAGAAGCAGCCTCTTTTTTACGAAGAATACTAGGTTGTCACTACCTACGAAGAAACTTGCGATTTTATGACATGCATTTGCAGACACCTAGCATTACTAATTGCAGATTTTCGTGGTGGTGATTTTAACCGTTGCAAGGTACACGATTGCATTAGAGGGCACGTAACAGCGCAAGGGAGTAGGTGGGTAGGGTTGATGTAAATGATCCACGAAACGTCAACAGGAGAATTAGGTTTTCCTTTTGGCAAATCGCATTCAAACCACTGCCTATTACTTCTAGACAAGTGGCATGGCAAAACGTCCAAACTCAAAGGAGAGCTGTAGTGAAGCATGTTGATTCACGCTCAATAATTCACTCGCTGCATTCTCGCACACTCTTTCTCCTTTTCCTTCAGCTCAATAACGTCTGTGCATCCAGTCCATCCGCCTTCCACATTAGCTTTCAAATTCACACATTCAACTTGTTTGAGCCATCTACGATACGGTTGAATCTCTCTCCCCACTCTCACATCTTGCAGTTCTTTTCACAAAATTAGTGACTTTTGAAAGCAAACGTCAATGAGTCATGCCAGCACTTACGACACCTTGGGTGTATTCCTTATACAAGGAAAGAAACGATCGTGGAAACCTCATGTTGGTTAGTCTCCTGCGAGTTATGTGTGTCCGTGCACTTGTATCTGATCACCTAAGCTCATAGCCTATGGGCACAAAAGCTGTTGTTGGAACAGGGAGAAATACGCTTGCTATGCAGTGAATTGTGTTGATTCATGCTAATGAGCCCTGTCGCTGCGTGCTACAACCCACTGCCTCCTTTTCACGGCGTGCCCGTCAGCCATGCCGGAACGTCGGTTCAATCACCCCCCTGCATGTACTAACACTACCCGCTTTATCCACATGACTTTTGTGTGTTTACTGTTCCACTTAACCATCACTTGCACGAGAAGTGATTTATTACGCCCTTTATCAGGTCAAGGTCACACTTGACTTGAATTAGTTTCACTTTTGACAACTCACTTCGCACGTGGCCGACGTGATTAAAGCTCACTACACGAGCTTTGGTCTTATGCCTGTTTTAGCGTGGGAAGGTCGGTTCTAGCATCATCAAGGAGTCTGGTACCGTTGTTTGAGTAGTTTTCTCCCCTGTTACGGGCAAACGTAACAAAAGGCTCAAGGAAATTACATCTCCGGCATCATTTTCTAAACATGTGGCTAGCGTGGTAGAAAGCGATCCGCATTAAATTAGCATCGTTTCCTAAGAACATTGTGCTCTCCAAAGGGTTTCACGTAAATCCACGCTTAACCAGGACGACGTCTGCGATGTTCAGCTCCTCGGGTTTGGAAGATTGGCAAAGAATAAGACTGACGGTTTTTTTGCACGCAGGATGCTTGTTAAACTAGTGTACAGATAAAACGCCGTATTGCGGATTTCGCCTGTTAGTACGGGGTATCTAAGCCAGGTCGGAGTGCATAGGCTAGTGAGTTAGTCCGTAGATATTTGGTTTTTAAAATGATGCCATGCAACACAAGCCGCCGAATGTTGAGGCAAATAAACAGTCTGTGCAGGTCTGCCAATCAATCATGCATTTTACGCATTATTTCGATCAAAAACGGTGGCAAACCCAGTCGCAAACTACGCCTTAATCCCGACGACACCTGCTTGAAGTTGTTATAGATGAACCACAACTTAGTTCTGGTCCACTGGTGATCAGGCATTTACACCTGGTTGTACAAAGATGTTACCGAAAGTTTGGAAGCATGGTTCAAATTACTCGACTAGCCCAGATTTCGAAGATGCTGGTACTAGCACAACCACAAGTTTGCATAATCTTTAGGCAAACGTGAGAGCTAAGTATTTACATGTCACAATTCCTCACATAGCAGTCTAAAACGACGACAGACAAGGATAGATTCTTCAAAATAGTCGTAAAAAGAAGGCTTGCTACTAAGGAAATGTCAAAACTTCATTTGACTACACAACCAAGTCAACACACAGCACCTCCATATCTACATGAATAATGCACAAGCTGTCTTCCTATCGTCGACAAGCTCCTTGGCGCTACTGTCAAAGAGGGTCTTGCTCCACGCATTCGTTGTCGGACCCCAAACAATTTTGTAGTTACCATTGTTTATGGTTGCTGGGGGGCTGAAGTACACGTCTTTGTGGTCGCCGTACCGGCCACTCTAAGTAGAGACAGGGTGAGAGTATTTGGCATGCCGGCTGGCAATGTTAGCGCTACGAAATTGCGTCTTCAAAACGGCAAACCAACATGGAGCAGAATTCGACCAGAATGGAGGCTGTTTTAGGCTGATCCCTTCCAACGTAATTGAAGGTTTACTTTCTTGATGGTCCATGTTGGGGTCACCAATTTATTGTAGCCGGGCTTAGCACTACCTCACAACCCTCTAATTTGCAGCCCGTAACGACCCGAGAAGAAGGAAGAAAAAAGTGTTGACCGAGAACACGACCGTTTATTAGCGTCACGACAGTCAAGTCCAGTAATTAATATTTCGCGAGCGTATCGATATGCGTGCGTCGTAACAGCCGACTGCTAACAAGGGATAATATTAGAGAGGGTGAAGCATTGGTACAGTCGTGGAAGCATTCACGCATCACTCACGCACGGTAGCTGCCTGTCCGCTACAGTGCATTCACGAGAAAAAAATCGATTGAATCGTGTTCGCTCACGCCTGCTAACCGTGCTCGAACGTCGTGGTGATAACTGCCGTTTTGAAGACATCATTTGTGGCCATGAGCATGTGGTGATTGACATGATGTGAATGGATTTACGCAAGGATTGCAATTGTGCCTACGTGAATGCATGCGTCGCGGACAAGTGGTAGAGCAACCAGAAATAGCAACTTTGCTGACATCAAGAGTGCAGTAATTGCTTTAGGCCTGAGCACAACAAGCAGATGTGCTCAGTTGCATGTTAAGTGGCAACACTGCAGACCAATTAGCAGGGCAAATGATGCAAGGTGGAGGAATAGGGTTGAGTTGCGTGTTCGCTTCTTCGAGTTTACGAGGTGTGAGGTATCACGTCTAGACGGCTGTCAACGATGCATTTGTAGGGAAAGGGTGCAAGCCTTCGCGAGTAATTGTATGCCAATGGTGTTAAAAATTTGACGAACAACGCTACCCTAGACATATCTTGATATACGCCGTCCTGACGAACATTCCTAACCCCTTGTTTTTCTGTGGTTGGTATGAATTTGGGAAACGTGTATGAATTTGGGATCTTAACCGCAACTGATCACAAAGTTAGTTAGGTGGCGTTATGCGTCATTTCTGAAATGGTAATGCGCGGAATAACAATACCACCTAAGAAAGAGACGAAAACCAACGGCACTAGGAGGAATTCACTTTATACCTTTTTGCCATTTTGCTGAATATGAAAAGCATCTGCTAAACCATCAGCATTGCTTACGACAAGAAGTAATGGATAACTTACTTT